TTTACATTTTTATATTTTTTGCATAACAGTACAAACCAGTAGTTAGTGTCAATATTTTGGCTAGCATGTTGCTATTATGGCCAAGTATCTGGAGAGTAAAAAGTGGGAACGTATAGAATTTAGTGGACGCAGAACTTTAAGTGTGTTTGTCTTCACACTGTCTTGTTTCTTTAAGCCTGAATGCCTGCACACATGCTTGTGTCTGATATTGACTTTCACTGAGCTCTCTGACCTCTGGCTGGATAAGCCACGATAGCCTTCTGCAAAAACACAGGGTCAAACATTGACATTCCCTCCCAATGCACACCCTGAAAAATGTGCAGAGAAAATAAAAAAAAAATAAGGGCCACCTCCCAGCCGTCCAATCCAAAACAGAATAAGTTTTGTCCCCCCTGCCCCCCCAATCATTAGCAGATAAAGCCTCTCTTTCTTGCCCTTTAATCAAACAGGCTACGGCCTGACATGGCTGGTTAGCTCCTCGATAGAGTGCTCATTGTGCCTGCGTTGAAAAGAGCCACAGAAGCTGTCTGCGAGCAAATCATGGGATTCAGTGCATGTGCATTCCTCCTGACCCTCCCCCACTTTGAACCCATCTCTTTTTTTTTAAATCCTTCTGTTGAACTGTGGCCAACTTGTAGTCACGTAGCAAACAGGCAATTTGATGGAACATTAAAAAGGTCTGCTTTGATTTTGGACATGTTTTTGTGACGGTTTGTCTTTCAGGTTGAACATGTCTGATTTCTTACTTCTGCAGCCAATGCCGCTCTGAAACCTTTTGTGTCTCACCCTCTGCCTCAGGTACACCACTCTCCTGATCTCCCTGTACACCAGAGCAGAATCAAGAACAACAATTCTGCAGGCGAAGGCCTTTCACTCTCTCTGTCTAGTTTGTGATGGACCCTCAGGGGCCGGGGCCCTGGAGTATTGTACCTCATCTTTTCTGTTTCTCTTTTTTTTAACCCCGGTCTCTTTTTTCAAGACTTGACCAGAGGCAGATGTGCTCAGCTCATTTCAGACACAGCTGCAGATGAAGGAGATAGTATAATATGACAAAGCTGAGTGTAAAACTAAAGAGAAAGGGGGAAAAAAGTCAGTTGGTGAAGGAAATGAGAGAAAAAAAGGAGATGACAGCAACATTAAAAAAAACACCCCCAACCAAATAAGAGATGTGAAGGAGTGAAGGAGTGAGCAAGGAAGTGTTTAAGGTGAGGGAACAAAATTGGTGGAATATGTAAAAGGGGGAAAAAAGAAAGAGCGTAGGAGGGACTGAAGCAGACGGAGACGGAGAGCAGCGTTGCCGCTGCTGCTGCTGCTGCTGCTGCCATCAACTCTTTTGACTGCAGCGTGCATGCAAGAGAAAAAAAGACAGTTGAGAAACAAGACGTTGTGGTTTTCACGATCTAAATATAAAGCTGTGGTCGCAGCCACTAACTGCTGTGTGTCTGTGTGTGTGACACTCATATGTCAGGCCAAATTGCTCCATTTTACCTACAAACTGTGAAGCATGTAGTGACACCTTTTTTTCCAACCAATAGAAGAAAACTTTCAGCTTCTCATTTCCTCAGGAGATACTACAGCAGATAATCTAAACCGGGGTTACAGATGTTCTCTTCCCACATGTCAGGTGATACACATCTATGAGGTGATTGACAGCTTGCTCTGTGAGTGTTTGTAAGGTGTAAAGGAGTGTAGTTTGTTACATTTTTTTGGTCTTAACTGACAAACATACATATATATATAACACAATTCAAATGTTTGTTCTAATCCCTTGTGTTTACATCTTGTCAGAACCTGACAAAAGATAAAACGAATGGCAAATAATCACCATCTAAATATAGCAGCTCAGTTACATAGTGACAGTGAAAAACAACAAACACTAAAATGCTTTTGACTTCAGGATATTTGCTCATCTCTTTTTATCATCATTAATGTTGTGTTCATTAAACGCTCATCCACATTAACACTCCCTCTGTTGAAACAATAAAAAAGTAGTAAAGCTGATAATAATCAGCCATCAGTGTTTGTCCTCGGTGTGGTGTGTGATTTGGCCTCATGTTCACATAAACATGCTAACGTGATTAAAATATTACACAGTGAGGTAAACCTGTGTTTACTGGTGTTTTTGTTCTTCTGATCCACAAATAGAACAGAGAACGTAAACAACTTCCTCAACTGCTTTGTCACAGTCTGCTCTGACCCGATCATCTGCATCCATAACAAGAATACATGTGTTTCCTCTCATCTGGACCCCCTCCCTCCCATAAATACGCATCCACTGTGACTCTATTTTGAGTTTAACGGTTGCTTTTCGTCATTCTTTCTTTCCAGACCAGACTTGTGGCACCGGCTGATGCGTAAGTCTCCATCCCCATCACAGACAACCCAGATAAACGTTTCAGAAGAAAACATCAGATATCTCTTTCCTAACATGCATCTTTGAAGTAGAGTAAATGGTGTCAGATCACTATCTCTCTCTCTGTCTCTCTCTCTCTCTGGCAGTTAAACCCAAAAAACATGTTTTCAAGTCCAATTGCACTGTAAAACACAGTTTTATTCTACTTTTAAAGAAAACAGAGTCTGTTTTCATACAAGGAACTTATACCAGGAACTATGTGCTAAATGTCCGCTATGGGGACCAAGAACTACTACTACAAGTACAAGTAAACCATCTTCACTCATGGGACAATCAGAGGCAGGAAGTGGAAGGATTCCATAATTTTAAAGTTTAAGGTTGCTGACCTCATTTGTCCGTTTAACTGTACAAAGAGCAGTTCACCTCCAACCCTGCAGAGGGTAGTCACATCACAAGCATTAACACATAACAGTAAGGATGGCACATCATACACTGTCAACACACCACACCAGTGCAGACTTTCAATCACAAACAAGATGCTAAGCCAGATCTAGGAAGAATAATTTAACCAGAAACTACCTGTGAGATAGGTTAGGTTTTTTCCAGAAATGGCCGACACAACACAAATGAGTGTCAACTGAATTTAAAATACTGTTTTGTCTTTTTTTTTTAGTTGCGAGGGTGCTGTCGCCTACACCCTTTCTCAGTGTAGTTCAATAACAGATCACTAAGGTGGTGTAAAAACCTAATTCAACTGTAATGTATATAAATAACACAAACTGTTGCTTTATTCCGACTGTGCATGTTTGTGTGTGTAAGCGTAGGGTGAGAGGTTAATTACTGCCTCATCAAAATGCAGTTTCAGTATAATTGTTGCTATCAACATCTCCAGTGCACTGGGCGTAGACAGAGGGGGGGGAAACCTGATTGTCATTACCATATCTGTTAGCTACTAGAACAAATCAACAACACAGACAATGCCAATCTCCTGGAAAGCCTGCGGACCTCGTAAGGAAGCTATTAGCTGACATTCTTCACATGTTTTTTCAATAATATGTGTAGCTGAGGCAGGGAAGGAGTGGAAGTGGCAACCCAAGCTTATTTTAGGTCAACCCTGCTAAACAGAAAACATCTGCCGCTGTTTCTGCAAGTCATCCGTGCGGATTTTACTCATCAAGTTCAAGGGGAAACTCAATTTTAGAGCGATATCATCTACAAGAACAGAAAGTTTTTCCTCTTTTTTTTCTTAATTTGGATTTACTGAATTTACTCTCATTGTGAAGCTGTGGGGATAATATTGTTGAATTAAGGAGCATTTTAATTTGCTACCTTTAATCAACATCTCCTTCCTCATCTCCTTCTACGTTCCTTTTGCCTCATTTCCAGCAGTAAACCAGAAATAGGATAAAAACATCAGCAGAGTCAGATTTATGAATGCAAACAGTATGTATAAACAAAAACAGCTGCTGCTGTCAGGCCGTGCTGATGATTTAATTGTTATGTACAGCCAGGCAAAGATAGTGCGGTGGGGTGGTAATTGAAATGTTATCCCAATCTTATCTGTGATGATTACTTAAACACTACATTTCTAATGCATGTTGAATTAGGCAATTACATGCATTTAAGCAGAGCTGCAGAGGGAGGGGGGGAAGGGGAGGGTGAGGGAGGGTAAGCAGTGGGGGGAGAACTAGCAGACAATAGAACGTGAATATTAAGTCATTCAGTGGCTAAGAGTAGGATCACAGGTCACAGAGTGCTTATAGGCATATTAGCTACTTGGTTATGATAAATTATGACTCTGTTGCCATGGTGACCAGTCCAAGCAAAGTGGACAGCAGGCAGGAAAAAAAAAACGACTTATTAAAACACCATGAGTTCTGTGATGTAATTTTAACAATACACATCCTCTCAACAAACACAAATGTGCTGCGGTTGTAAACAAAAGAAAGAGAATTTGATTAGTTTTAGAGTAAATACTATAAATATGCATTACCAAGCTTCCAACCTTACCGGTCCTTTGTCTTTTTACTGGCTTGATATAGTCCAGAGAATGAACAAAAATGGAAAAGACCTACACCAACCATTACGTGGCGCTTATGACCTGCCTTTGATGCAAAGGTGTAATAAATCCAGCACAAAAATGAGGGAGTAGATTTTAACGACCACCAGATCCTCTGAGTTGACACTGAACTACCATTAGACCATCTACCAACAACACCACCAGGTTGTCCAGGGTTGACACTGAATGATCACCAGGTCATCTTGGGTTGATAGTGAACGACCACTAGATCATCTACTGTAGGTTGGAAACCACCAGAGCCTCTAGATTTGACGGTGACGGACCACTAGATGATATTAGAGATGAATTATCACCATAACATCTTTGGTAGACACCAAGTGGGGTCTTCCGACTCTAAATATTTGGTGTGGGCTTAAGAATAATTTTCCCACAGTTCCAAACAAAGAAGTAGCAGTAAAATAATGCCAGAGTAAAATACACGTACAGCAAAGAAAACTGACTCACAAACACTGGTAAAAGAGAAACTTTGTGTGTGTATGTGTGTAGGAGTGCATGTGTGTGAGTGTTTCCACATGTAAAATGTGGGATTCCCCGCTGTCTGCCACATTACCCTGATTTGCCACTTACTTGACAATTAGACGCTAGCAGCTGGATGCTGATTTTTAGGGCAGCAGCGGGCACATGTCGCCATAGTCACATCACGTCACGTCCCCCATGGGCTCATTAGGGACGTGTGAAACGCCTGGCTGACTGCTTTGAAATGGTGGGGATGGACAGGCCAGGTCTGTGCTGAAGGGCAGAGAGAGAGAGAGAGGGGGAGAGAAAGAGGGAGGGAATGGGAGTAGAGATGGAGAAAGGAAGAGTGAATGAGGATATTCTGAACCGTCCACAATATTTTTTATAGGATTAACCATTCTCATGAAATCTTGTTATTGAATATATGTTTTGATCCTATGTACCCATGTAGGATCATATACCTTCATATGTTTACACTTGTAAATATGTAATAAAATGATTGTAAAATGTGTGTATATACAGTATATATGTATATATACATTTTCCATGTACATATACAGTATATATATATATACATATATATATATATATGTGTGTGTGTGTGATTCCAATCCACCACTGATTCCCAGTTTTGTCCATGTATAACAAATCAAAATGCTAACAGTCTGTTCTCTGTATATGTATGTATTGTAAGTCACTTTGGATAACAGCGTCTGCTAAATGTATTGTAATGTAATGTACAAAAAGGGTTCAAGTGAATGGCAGAACTATATATTTTGTTCATGGCACCAACATGCACATACACACATACTGCAGTGGTTGTCACATGGTTCATAATTAGCTGATTGAGCTCTAACGTCATTACCATGAGGGAGTCTTCTCCACACCAATCAATTTCCACCATTGTATAATGGCACAGCATACGGTGCTGGCTCTCAGTGGTAGAATTAGCCACAATGCAGTGGTCCACCTGCTGTGTTGTGTGCACTCTGCATTACCAGTGCTTGTCAGTACATCTGTATGTTTGTGCTGCTTTGCATGTGAATACCTGACTGTTCTTCTACAACAGACTCACATCATCCTGTTGCCTTTTACACTCTGGCATTTTATCTGCAGGTCAGAACACATCCAACCCTTTCTTCTGTTTGTCTCCTTTTCCACTGACAATTTTAGGGATGTTGCACCTTGACTAGTTTCTAGTTTGTGAGGTTTTTTTTTCAGTTGCCCATAAAGCAAAAATTCTGATTCCTTCCACTCCACCAGATTGAGGTTTGACAGGTTTAACCCTGGAACACAATGCCTCAGGAGGTGTATTGAGCTGATGGTCAGCCTTGTTGCCCTCAGGCTGCCTTGTCTCACCAGCATATATATATACGCACACACCAGGGAATCTGCAGGGATTACAGATGGTGAATGGAACACAAGCAGAGCAACCAAACAGGACCTATTGGATTGTTTTAACATAATACTGATTGTATTTCACCCTCAACCTAGGCCAAAAGTGGCCTACCACTAGGATCTGAGAACTTTTATTGCTATTGTAGTTCACACAACTGCAACGTAAGCTATTTTTTTCTGCAACCAACAGAAGTGTAAACTGAAGTTCTTGTCAAGTTCTTGTGTTATTTTCAATTGAAATGGATTCAAAAAAAAGTTTGCTTCTGTCAAAAACAATAAAAAAAATAAAATGTAATCTTTATGTGACTTCAGTGGACACCACTGCTCCATATGAACATGAAGGAAGAGACTGTGGAGGTTTTCTCTTCATGTAAAACAGAGGAGCTTTAAAGAAGAGGCCCAAATCACATGGGTGTAATGACAGATGTTACCAACAGACCTCAAGATTAAAAAGGCCTGAGGAGATGGTTGAACATCTGAAGGTGTTGTGGGCTGCACCAGGAAGTATCCTCCAGCAAACCACAGTCCAGTTCCTGAGCAGCACCACCACCACTTCCACTCTTCTCCCCCACAGAACAAACCCTCTCTGCCACGGGACAAAAGCTGCTGCAAGTCAAGCATGAAAGCAGAGGGTTAGGGGGGAGTCAGAAAATAAATTAGGGGTGTGTTGGAGAGAAGAAAAAAAGGGGGGCATGAACTTCCAGCTGTTGTGCTGGGTGTTGCACTTCTCCTTAAGTAAAGAATGTTGGAAAACAATCCATCCTGGACAGAACCCCAAGGCAGAGCTTGACTTCAGGGGCTGCTAGCGTTGATGCATCATTTACCAAAGCATTTTCAAGGCAACGTATGTTCACTTTTTTATCACAAACAAAGCAACAACATCTCTGACTACAATCATCACGAGATCCGGGATCTTGAGGACATAGAACAGTAACCCCAGAGTGCGCTGACAGTTATTGTCAATTTTGAGCACATGTCACAAAAATTTAACGCTCAGCCCTTAGAGAAAAGTGTAAAAGTGTCCCTGGAAGCAGACCTTCTTATTATTGCAGTAAAAAACATCAGCTGTGGGACCGGTACAGAGTGCTGGCATCAGCACTCTGTTTTCTTGACAGGAAGCTTAATTAAGTCAACACAAAGTCCTTGGCATCATAAAAATGTTGCTTACTGCGGCTTCAAGCAGGGGCAGGTCCTAAAAGCTCATCCACTTTGTTGTTTGGGCCTGCCCCTGTCTTCACACTCATGACTTTTTTTATTTATGCCGCCTGCCCTCGCCCTGTAAAAATTACCATTCAATGTGTAATTTCACCTCCCTCCACGGTCATCGTAATAATGTTTCAACACAATTATTGGCACATTGTGATGCATTTAGCCAACACAAAACTCACTGATATATTTATCACTTTTATGTCTAATTATGTTTTTTTTTAATATATTTTTTTTAGCCTCCAAGATGACAACACGTCTGATTGCGGCACGAGAGGGAGTGAAGAAACAACAAGGCAAATCAGCCCCCTGAAGTGATGTGTATTGGCTGGGGAGTTGTAGTCTTCCTGCATTCTCCTGTGCAGTAATCAAAGGGAGTGCTGCTCCGGCTGTGACTCCCATCACCAGAGGCTAATGGCTAATCATCAGAGCTGTCTCTGGCTGTCCTGCACGCTCTCGTTTACTCTGCCGTATTTATTCAAGAGACCTAACCTGTGCAATTATCAGACTTGCTACTTGCTAATAGGTTTGATTGTTGCCGTTACACCAATTAGTAATTAAACCCCACTGAGGTTGTAACGTCAGAATCATACCTCTGCATCTGTCTGAGCTGAGCTGCATTCAGGTCTGGGCTCTGACTGGTCTACAACATAATTTCCTCTGAGTGAGTTAGTTTAAACAAAACAACAAAATCCAGTGTGTCTTAGACAAACACTATGGAGTCATTTCTAATTACCTGCTGGGAGAAACCAGTCTCACAAACTATAAATACTTAAACAAAACCCCAGTTACTGCCTACCTTCTTCTACAATGTTGCCTGTGTTTTATATAGGGTTGTTGTGGTGTCCCCTACCTCCACACATTTACAGCTATGCTTCAAAACTTCACTGAATGTTATTTAAAACACTATAATACCTACACAACTGCCGTTCACTTCAAACAAAGGAAGGGAATAAAATTAAAGATGAATGACATGTTCCCACTGTGACACAAATAAATAAAAATTAAATTCAGTTGCCTTGTTGCGCCTGCCTTAAAAAGCGCTGCGCCCCCCAAAGGGGGATTCATTCCTTACTTTTGGAACCAGTTGACCCATGGGGATTCAATCCTTACTTTTGGAACCAGTTGACCCATGCACACTTTGAAATTACCTTCCAACTTTATGCTGAAAAACTAAGAATTTAACCAGTTAACTTATGATCTTGTTGTTGCACAACAACAGGACGTCCAAACTGATTTATTGGCATAACATGGTCTATGGTGACAAATGTTTACCAATCAACACTCCCTGGAATCTAACTCTTGTGCCGCTCAGTGCCTGTGCTGTGCAGCTCAGGAGGTGCAACTTTTGCTCACCACCCTTTGTCTACAGCTTTTGTTAAAGGCCACAGTGCAAAGGTCAAAGTTCAAAGGCTCTTTGACTCAAGGATCTTTTCAAACGCCACATCTCATCAGCCCTCTGGAGCATTCTGGGGAAGATTTGTACTATTAATCAAAAGGCTTTCATCCCCCCATCCCTCCTCTCCCTCACCCTCCCTCCAGTGTCACCAACAAATTAACTTCACGCCTTTGAATGTATTTGAATATTTTTTTTGTTACTAAAAACACTCTTCACCAAACCATTATATTTTAATTTAACGACTAATGCAGTTAAATAAACTCATTATTCTTTGTATAAGTCCTAACTCCAGTGTTCACAGAATGGCTAATCTTAAAATAACGAACCACAGGTTATAGGTAAACAATTAGGGAGAGTTGTGCTGCTGGAACTCAGTTCCTGGCTCAGCAGTCAGGCAGACTGGATTCAAGATAAAGTGTCTTTTTTACTGTCAGGTTGTTTGCGTTTAAGGTCTTCCACCTAACAGATGCCTTCGTGGTAATATATTTTAATGGTCTAGACCTGTTCAGCCTGGGAGGTGGGAGGGGGGTCGGAGAGTGGTAGTTATAAGGACTGGTGAAGACAGGGTTTGTGGAGTTGGAAGAGAAATTATTGTGTAGTGTGTCTACAGATGTATTTATCAATATGAAAAAAACACATATGTCAAGATATATGGGGAGAAAATCTGACATTTATTCAGATTTCCTCCATAATTATTGATTCTTTGGTGTGACTTTACTCCTAAGTGTTGAACAGGAGGCTCTCGTTTGTCCCAGACACATAAACACACACTGACACACTCTGTGGCCCCCGGGGCGAGGCATGTGGGGCAGAATGATGTGGTGAACAAATTTAAGGACACTCCCCACTGGTCCCAGTCTGTGGTGCTGACCGCCTGTCGGCCAAACTCTGGCAGCCATCTGCATCCGATTAGAGCCACAAGGGGGCCGTGTTGGAGAACACGTGAAGAAAAAGAATCTGCTGTGTCCTAATTAAAAATCATCCTGCAATATTTAATTACAGGCCACACGCCATAAACTTTGTGGTACTGACACAGTGGGAGTACGTTAAAATATATTGGATAAGGTAACACTGAAGCGCAGTCATTGGTACAAACAAGGAATTTCCATACGCTTCCAAATGTGTTTATAGCTCTCCCTGCAGGGAAAGTTCTGGAAGCTACAGGACTCAAACACAAAAGTTCTGAGTATTCTAACTTTGATACAAACATTATAATAAAAAAAGAAATTAATTAATGAAGATCATTTTAGCTCAACAAATCTGTTTTTAG